GGGAGCCTGGGGGCCCTGGCGAGCCTCCCGGCGGCGGAGACCCCGGTGGGGGGAGCGGGGGGGTCCCGGGAGGCCGAGGGAAGCAAGACATCGGGGACATTCTGCAGCAGATAATGACCATCACCGACCAGAGCCTGGACGAGGCCCAGGCCAAGTGAGTGCCCCCACCCCGGGACCCCGCACAGACCCGGGACCCCGCTCACAAGCTGTGGATCTTAGGGGAGCCCCACCCCCAGCTCCACAGCCCTCGCCAGGACCCCACAGCTCTCTCCTCACTCCTGGGGCCCCCTAGAAAAGTGATCCCTCCAACGTCCCTTCACCCACAGGCCCTGAACCCTTCACCGACCGGACCCCAGTGGTAGCGCTCCTTCTCCTAACCTTTTGCCGACCCCCACGCTCCCCTGGAACGGCCCCATCTCAGGAGCCCCCTTCTGGCTTCCACACTCTAAGAAACTGTTCTCAGGCCGCACTGCCCCCTAACTTCACGGAGCCCACCCCGATTCTTCTCCTGACTCAAGGACCTCCACATCCCACTCCAGAGCTCCCACCACCCCTCTCCTCCCAGCCCCCCTCTCCTCACAGCCCCCAGGGACTCTTACTCCCCTTCCCCATGCTCAGCCCAGGACCCGGCCATCCACCACAGGGAGCTCCCCCTGCACCTCACAGCCAGTCCTCCCCTCCAGCCTCCCCTCACCTCCAGTCACCCCAAATCCCTCTTCCATGTCTTTCCTAGACCCTCTCAAAGCCCCAGTGCACCCATGGCACTTCCCCCCTGCTGTCCCCGCCATTCCACTCCAAGCCCGCTTTCTCCCCCAGAGGTGGAACCTCCTTGGTCCCAGGCTCCCCTCTCATGTTAGGGTCCCCTGCTCTTCTAGCCTCAACTTTTCTCTCCTCTCATTGCTCCCAAGGAAGCACGCCCTAAACTGCCACCGAATGAAGCCAGCTCTCTTTAGCGTCCTGTGTGAGATCAAGGAGAAAACGGGTACGTGGGTCCGTGGGTCCCCCTCGCTCCTCAGTCCCAGGGACAGAACTCTGTTCACTACAGAGCTGAGTTCGCACGCCCTAAACTGCCACCGAATGAAGCCAGCTCTCTTTAGCGTCCTGTGTGAGATCAAGGAGAAAACGGGTACGTGGGTCCGTGGGTCCCCCTCGCTCCTCAGTCCCAGGGACAGACTACAGGGCTGAGTTCCGACAGCCTGAGGCCCTGAAGAACGTGGGGAGTCGGGGGCTGCTAAGGGGGACCAGGGAAGGAACCCAAGTCTGGAAACGCGGGTCTCCAGGAGGACTGAGCACTGGGTGTGGGGTCCCTGGGTCCCTAAGTCCACTCGCCTGCATGCTAGGCCTCAGCATTCGGAGCTCCCAAGAGGAGGAGCCGGTGGACCCTCAGCTGATGCGTTTGGACAACATGCTTCTGGCCGAGGGTGTGGCTGGGGCGGGGGAAGGGGGGGGGTGCGCCGCAGGAGTTTTTTTTTCGGGGGGCGCGGTGTCCCCTGACACCTCCACCGAACACTCGGACTATCGCAGCAAACTTGCCCAGATCCGCCACATCTACCACTCGGAGTTGGAGAAGTATGAGCAGGTGAGGGGAGAAGGCTGGGGTCCTTGGGGGGCATCCCCCAGCCGCAGGGCTCCTCCCCACCCGCCCGCCGGCCTGGCTGCAGGCGTGTAACGAGTTCACGACCCACGTCATGAACCTGCTGCGGGAGCAGAGCCGCACGCGGCCTGTGGCCCCCAAGGAGATGGAGCGCATGGTGAGCATCATCCACAGGAAGTTCAGCGCCATCCAGATGCAGCTCAAGCAGAGCACCTGCGAGGCCGTCATGATCCTGCGCTCCCGCTTCCTGGACGCCAGGTGGGGCCGGGCCCTCCCCGTCTCCCTCCAAGCCCCTGGGCCACCGTGGTGCCCCAGGACAGTGGTGCCCTCAAAAATCAGGCCTTGGGACCAGCAGTTAGCGTAATGGCTGTGTGGCTGGACTCCCATGTAGTCGATCGCGGTTTGAGTCCCAGACCCGGTGGCTTAAAACTCACACTGGGTGCGTGTGTGTGCGTGCCCAAGATCCCGAAAGAAGGGATTGTGGCGTGTTCATCCCCCCAGGAGGTGATTTCTCACTTTCTGTCTCTCTCTGTTTGGTGAGCGCACACGCCCTATAGCAAAAACCTCTCCAAAAAAAAAAAATATTATGCATCATGGCAGCCCTGCTCCTCACCACCTTTCTCCCCCCTTGTAGACGAAAACGCCGAAACTTCAGCAAACAGGCCACTGAGGTCCTAAATGAGTATTTCTACTCCCACCTGAGTAACCCATACCCGAGTGAGGAGGCGAAGGAGGAGCTGGCCAAGAAGTGCGGCATCACCGTCTCTCAGGTATGGTGGAGTTGGGGGCAGAGTTCTCAGGGGCCCTTCATGGGGGACCTCAGAGGGAAAGGTTGCCACCTGAGCCTCCTCGCTACCCGACACCCCACAGGTCTCCAACTGGTTTGGCAACAAGCGGATTCGCTATAAGAAAAATATCGGGAAGTTCCAGGAAGAGGCGAACATCTACGCTGTCAAGACGGCTGTGTCAGTCACCCAGGGGGGCCACAGCCGCACCAGCTCCCCGACGCCCCCTTCCTCCGCCGGGGGG